TATCATTCCAGTCAAGCAGTAGTTTCAGACTGGAACTGTTTCATCGGTTAAATTATTATATTTTTGGTTACTGTGATAATCTTACAGGATGAGAGACATTTTAAAACAAAGAGCGTAGTCTAGAGCATAACGAAATGATAGCTTTTTAATAAACTGGCAAATAGATATGTACTTGTATCTCCCTGCTATCATGATGTGTCAGGTTCCCTTTGTCTTTCAGGACAGGTGGATTGGTTTATTAAATTTCTTGTTTAAATTAGTTTATTAAATATTACTTGTTTATTAAATTTCCAAGTACAAAGGAGAATCATRCTTTTCTGTAGTAGAAGGTCTAATATGGAATAGTAGTAAAATAATTAGAATAAATAGTATTATAGTAGTTAAACTAATCAGTAGTTTAGTTTTATACTGATTGGAGTAAACAAGGTGAAATGGTACGTAGGTAATTTTTAATTTCAGTTCAGAAAGTTGTTATACTGCGCTACACTGGAAGAAGTCCTCTAAGGAAGTTGTCCCAGAACGTGGTGAGAGCAGCAGCTCAGCTCAGGAGCTGTAGTGGCACTTGCTGATTCTGTAGTYAAACTCCTACCTCATTTTTCAGTAAATTACAGCCAGATCAAATGGGCTCTTTCAAACAAAGTTATTTTAAAATTGATTTGATGGTTTCCTACTAAGAGTGCTAGGCTCGGTAAAACAGCGTATCAGGAGAATTGATTAAATTTACTGATGTTTAGGGTCAGATTCTATGCTGTTTATGTAGYAGGAAAAGCTCTCTGCCTTTAGTGGGCAGCTTTTGAATACATAACAGTAACCATGTTAATATGTATATATTCAAGTTCACTTGAACTTACAGCTGTCTATCAGAACTGTGAAATCACTTTATGAGATAAAAACATCATAATATAGATACATCTAAACTAAAAATGGAGTTCTAATTGTATCTTAGAGTCACTCCATTTATTTTCACATTGTGCATTAGAGTTTATTTWAGAGGACAATAACTTTAAACCATTATGATTTTATTTTCTAACGTTGTTGTATAGTTTTTACTTTTAAGCATAGAATGATGACTATAGAAAGTATTAAGTATACCTTCCACTAGTACTGCTGCAATATTAAAAAGTGTAGATTCTTCACCAGGTTAAGTCTGAAGTTGTTTCATAAGTAATATAGATTTAGAATTTAGAATATTTTCTAAATTTAGAATATTTTCTCTCTTTACTTGTCCAATGACAAAWTCAGAGACTTTTTTTCCAAATCACTCTCCCATGTCACTGCAAATTTTATCCTTAAAGCTTGTTAGCTGTCATGGGCAAGCATTTTATTCCATTACTTACATCTTGATTTAAAATATACTCTTAAAAGCTTCCCAWTGCAGTATAATTTATAAAAATAGTGGTGTGAACATTAAGATAGAGCAACCGGTGGCTTTTTAAGATCAGTATCAAAGACTCCATCCCAGGGTAAGCGATAGTAATTAATGAGACAGGAGACCTRGAGACAAGTCCGCACAAAAGCCAGCAACGGAGCTGAATCAGAAGAGCAGCTGTTGGGAACCACTCGGCAGGGACATCTAAAGAAATGGTGCTGTATAAATCACTACACAGCATTGGTTTTGACACATTAATGTTACCACTGAATATACATAATAATCCTCAACATGGCTCCAGCAAAGAGGTATTTTTCAGTGGCACAACAGCGTGGGAGGAATAATTGTGTAATGCTAATGAAAGTGAAGTAATCAATTTGCAATCATGCTTTCCTGTAAACTCACTTTTAATATTATGTTTGGTAAATACAGGCATGATATCCAAAAACCCATGTGTCTTCTTCTGTAGACATGACTGACAAGCCCTGTGAGCAATGTGCTTCCAAAACAAGCATGACTCAATACCTTTGGGTCGGTAACTCACACAAATCACACAGAATGTTCTGAGTTGGAAGGGACCAACGAGGATCATCAATCCCAGCCATYAAATGAATGGTCCATATGGGGATTGAACCMRTGACCTTGGTGTTATTGGCACTGTGTTCTACAAAAAAGATGAAGAATATTTTCTGGTAATGTTCCTAAGGTGTATCTTAGAGAAAGTAGCAATTCACATGTTSGAGAGACATAATCAAAATGGGTTCTATAAAAAACTATACTGTGTGATAATTGTGCCTTCCTGTAGGATACACACAGTTACTCAAACTATTTGATTACATTGCTATGCTTAAGCAAATTTGTTATATAAAAAATAGGAACATTTTTGAAATTTACAGTTTTACCAAACCAACGTGTCTTTCAGGGTGCACATTGTATTCAGCTGCTTGTGATACAGAGCACACGGGAGAAAAACTATGTGATTTGAAGATCTTACAGAAATCCTATTTTGTTTAATTTCACAAAGATGGAAGGTGATGATCAGAGATGTGGGGATGTTCAATATGAAGTGTACAATATGAAGYGTATTTTTATGTAGGCCAGCACAGGGTTCTCAACAGAAGTTACTAGTTAACACACTGGGGAGTCTCCAGATCCTAAGTTGACCCCTGCAGGTAATTTTAAAACTCCCAGTAGGGATTCTCTTACCTGCAGCTTGCTGCTTAACCAAGSAAATAATTCACTATTTCTCTGTTGCCAGTTTACTTAAAAAGTATTTAAAATTCTTGGACGACCTAGACCCTGACTAACTGAGCCACCTAAAGACTGGGTAAGTAATAAAAAAATAGAGCATTATGTGCTTGTTGACTGGCTATATTCGGAATATCTCATCAGATAGAGATTCACTAGAATCACCGTGTCACAGGTTTCCTTATCCAGAAAAAGTATATTACTCAGCAATTAATTATGGGCTTTTAAGGACTTCCGGGGATTAGAGTTAAATAAGGTATTGCAAAAGATGCCCAATGATTCACGTTTCTAACACAAAAAAATGTAAAGCCCTCATTTCATTTCTCTTTGAACTGGCTTGCTCCAGCTGGTCATCAACACTGAATGAGACTGCTAGAATGAGCTGTTTCTTGTCCCATTCCTGAGGTCACACATTTTCTGAGACTCGTTTTTTTTCTTTTCCTTGTGGGATTGATCAGCACTGCTGAAGTCAAATGATGTGTATGATGACTTAAGATATAGTGTTGAAAAATTACTTCTTCCTGCACAGAAATCACTTGTGAGAAGAATTACAAAAACTGCTTATCTCAYACTCGATTGAAACACAGTTTGAGTAAGAAATCATGGATTGTCTCATAACGCTGGAAGCTGTCCACAAGCTTAGGTTTGGTGTGAGCACAGTTTAACAGGCTGAAGGGTGTGGGAAAGCTTTTTAAGTAAAAATGATTTTATACACATTCTAATTATATATAAATATGCAATACTTTATATCTGCATGCACATGCACACACACATGCCAGAGCAGACCACCCCATGCTGGAAAATCCAGATCATTATCTCTATCACACCTTGAAAAAGTTGTCAAACATGATCATGTCAGGCAGTGACTTCTCACAGTTGTGGTGGAGTTTGTTAGCAACGTTAAGCATTATGGTCTGTACTCCCTGTCCTAGGGATAAGTCCACTGGAAAAGAAACCATGTAACTGCCACGGGGTGAAAACAAGAGCATCATTCAAATGAGGAAGAGCTGTGTCTGTGCTCTCATGTGTGCACAATGGTTTTTATTTGCCTGGAGTGAAGATGCTGAAAAATGCATAAAYGCTCCCCTGATCTGATGGCACATGTGAAAATAAGCAACCCAACTGGCAGTAAGGGAGACTTTGTAGCTATGCTACTGTWAATAGTTCATAAAATATTATTGAGAAGAATCATTTCTAGGGGGAAGAAAAGAGACAGTGTTTTTTTCCAACTCTCTTTGGACCACTTTAGCTACCAAAATCTTTCTAGAAGTAATCCAAGACATGACAGCATCTTAAGTCTATACAGATATCACATACCTGTTGACTCTGAACATCTTCTAGGACTTAATTTTGGAGCATGAGATGCTACCTCATCATCAAGAGGCAGATGAAAACCAGAAAGGTTTGAGTGATTGCTCTTTTGTACAGTGGTGTGGTCTATAGCTCGTCATCAAGAGGCAGATGACATCAACTGGGGACCGATGCTGGTGTGCCATGATGCACAAATTGAGGATGCACCATCCCCAGGAATGAGGGCTGGCGTTTAGGAGAAGCTCACGGTAATAGCCCTTCTCCCTCCCTGATTGACCCTGTTCCCCAAAAATCAGGCTCTGAGGTTGCATCTTCATTTCACATCTAAGTCTTGTACCCACTTAGTGCAAGTGAGAGGCCATGCTCGCTGCATACAGCAGATCTAGCACCTGTTGAATTGTGCTCCGTGCAGCACTAGTCCCTCCTCCGCGACAGCTCATCTGCCTCACAGTAAAACCAGCATCACGCAGGATCAGAGGTTTGTGCATGTGGAGGTAGGCACGGAGCTCAGGCGCAGCACAACCTCACGCACAGAGCTGCTGCTGGAGGCGAGCGCAGGGAACAATGAACAACGGCGGGGCGGCTTGGTCAGAAAGTGTCACCRCACGCCTTGCCACCACACACGGTACCTCGGTGGGCACAAACCCGACTTACACGGCATCCCGGTTAAGCTTTGCCTCCGCACACCCGGCGGGGGAGGGGGGTTAAACACCAGCACCGGTACAGCTGTATACAGAGAGCGGAGGTAGTGTCTGCGCAGCTACAGCAGGATGACGGAAGGCGCGACAGTCGGCGTCCCGAGGGACACAGCAGCGGGCACCCAGCCGCCGGCCCTTCCCTGGGGCTCGGCAGCTTCCATTGCGGCCATGGGCGGGACGGGCGAGGAGAAGGCAGCGGGACCGTGGGGGGCCGGGCGGGAGGCGGCGGCGTGTCCCGGGATACCCGTGGGTACCGGGATCGGGAACAGCCACAGGCAATTGGTACAGAACACACTCCCAGCACGGCGGGAAGGGGCGAGGACAGGCAGGCCGCCGCCGCGCATGCGCGCTGGCCGCCCCGCTCTCACCATTACCTGCGARCCGCCAGGCGCCGTCGCCTTCTTTTTCTTGGCAGGGCCGCCGCCGGTGCCCGGGCTSGCCGGACGCTTCTTGCTGCGGGACGTAGCGCCGGCGGGAGATGAGGCGGCGGCGGGGACCAGGCTYGCCATGCGGCCCCGCTCCGGGCCCGGGCAGGGACCGCTCCCCCTCCCCGGCCGCAGTGGCGGCGCTGTGGCCGCGCATGCGYAATGGCGGCAGCGCCACTCCGCCAGCCCGGGCCGGGCCTGCTCGGGGTGGCCGAGGGCGAGCGGGGCTTGGCCAGAGCTTGTGAGGCTTCGAGTCTCGTAGGAACGAGCTCTGCCGTCTCCTTGTTATCCTCTGGTATTGCGGGCCCCTTCTCGGACACCTGGCTGCGGTGACAGACTCGCCCCGGGGTAGCCCGCGTGCATAGGAGGTGGCAGAGTGTGTCGAGGTGTGGGGTTTCTCACCGTAGAGGGTGAGCGGCACTGGAAAAGACAATGAGGGCTTTGCAGTCGTTTGGGAGGTGAGCAGTGAGGAGCTGTGCGGGAGTGGCCGAACACAGGCTGTAGTTTGGGACATGGGGTCCTGTTCCTGCGCAGTGCCAGCGCTGCAGTGCTGTGTGCTCCATGTAACACTTCTGTGTTTGCAGGCATTCGCTGTCTTACGCCTGCCCAAGGTGAGATGAAATTTATGCARAAGGCCCTTATACGATGAGAATGGCGTGCAAGTCTCAAACTTGTCAGTTTTTTTTTTTTTTTCCAGTCGCCTGGATAAAATACGCAGAGGGGTGTATCTGCTCCCTTCAGCTCTCGGATGGTGAGCTCTGRCAAGCCAAACCAGTGCCCAGTGTGAATGGCCACACTGAACTGGAACAGCTCCCTGAAAGGTGAGCTGGGGCCCGTCTCTTCCACCGTGACTGCAGTGTGAGGACCAGAGGAGGTGCCCTTAAAATGAGACAGGGGAGATTCAGATTAGATATTAAAAAAAAAAACAAAAAACAAACCAAAAAAACAACTAGTGTCAGACATTGGAATAGGTTTCTCAGGGAGGTGGTGGAGTCACCATACCTGGAGGTGTTTTAAGAGGCACTTGGATCTGGCGCTGGGTGATGTGGTTTAGTGGTTACTGAGATAGTACTTAATTGATGGTTGCACTTAATGATATTAAAGTTGTCTTCACAGCCTTGACAATTCTATGATTCCAACTGTGGAACCTTTCAAAATGCAAGCTGGAAGTCATTACAGTTAACATGAAAAATTTCAGATTATAACTACAGCTAGCTGATACTGATTGCCTGTCTGGGCAATTTGTACTGCTGCAGATTGGGTTGCTTGCACAATGTTTTGGCATGRCTAGTGGTCTTGTGCAGTGATTTTTTCTCTTCTTGGAATCTGGAATAATTTTGCACTGGTGAAACATCAGAATAGATTTGAGGGGATTTGGMCTGTGCTCTAAAGAATTTTCACTGTCCTCTTACTGTCTGTGCTGTTTCACACCATGCCTCAGAGAAGTGGTTGGTGTTGATGCATTGTTGTAGAGTTCTTGAGATGCTTGATGACTGAGAAGCCTTCTAAGTTTTATGCTTGCATGCACCTGYATTCAGCATGCTGGTCAACTTATTGCCATGTTTGTTTGAGCTACTTCTGTGCACTGCCAGTCTGCTAGGTTTCCAGCTGCAGCTGCGTGAGATCCTGTCCCAGCACATGCCTTGTGGAGAGGCAGAGGTCCAAGAAGTTGATATTCAGGCATAAAAATTAGGTCACGTTTGTAGACGGTGCTGTAATGAGGACTGAGCGTGGGCACAGTAGGGGTGCCAGGCARTGCTGTGTTAAACAAAAGCTTTGAAGGTGGCCTGAAAGAGAGTTGAAGACAAAAGCCTGGACTTCCAGGCTGTGTTCCAGGCACCTGTGTGTGTAGTGGAAAAGCAGGACAAGATTTGCTTTCCAGGGGCATAAGCAGGGTCTTGTACAAACATCCAAGTCCCATATTCTCCTTCCAACTATAGCTGCTGTCTTTCTGTCTGAGCATACAGGCTGCCAGCAGCACCACAAAGCCAACTGGTAAACTGGATTGCATTTGCTCTTAGTGGTTGTTTCRGGCTTGTTGTGCTCTGCAGTTTGTGTTTTTTCTCGCTTCAATTGACAGCCTCCCCTCACATGCTCAAAATGGTGACCTGAGTGTGGAATTAGCAGGGGCACTGGTAATCGCAGGGGAGTTGTCCCTTGACAAAGCCAGATCTGCTTTGCTGTGTGCTCAAAACGTTGATCTTGTCTTAGTCAGCCTTTTCTCATTCCCAGGGCTGGGTTCCATCCCTTTCCCACGCACATGCTGTGTTCTCAGCTCCCAGGCATGCCCAATTAAATTGGAAGCATACCTTATCACAGGGATGTTTTTACTGAGAGAAGCATCTTCAATGCAAGTGAATCATGCAGAGAATTAACGTGCTGCATCAGTGAAAGTTTTTAAATAGCACTTAGCCAGGCATTTTCTTATCTGTACCCATTTTTAGCAGTTGGTTTACTAAAAAAATCACAAGGCTTGTATGTATTGTAGTAATATTAARTACAGTGGAATTTTACAGAGTACCAAATGCATTACAGAATCACAGAATAGGTTAGGTTGGAAGGGACTGCCTTAGATCGTGTGGTCCACCCCCTCTGCTAAAGCTGGGTGGTCCCTGAGCACATGGCACAGGATTGTGTCCATATAGTTCATGAATTTCTCCAATGAGGGAGACTCCACAATCTCTCTGAACAATCTATTCCAGTGCTTGGTTGCCCGCACAGTAAAGTTCTTCCTCATATTCAAATAGAACTTCCTGTCCATCAGTTTCTGTCCTTTGCCTCTTGTTCTGTTGCATGGGATCAGTGAGCAGAGCCTGGTTCTCTTGACACCCTCCCTTCAGATTCTGAGGGACATTGATGAGGTCCCCTCTCAGTCATCTCTTCTCAAGGCTGAACAGGCCAAGTTCCCTCAGCCCTTTCTCTAGGAGAGAGGGATGCTCCAGTCCCTTAATGATCTTTGTCCTCTCCTGGACCTGCTGTAGGAGCGCCATGTCTCTTGTGCTGAGAAAGCCAGAACTGGACACAGCACTCCAGATGTGGCCTCACTGGGGCTGAGCAGAGGGGGTAGGATCACCTCTCTCGACCTGCTGGCCACACTCATCCTAATGCACCTCAGAACACCATTGGCCCTCCCTCCTGAWCCCCAGGGCTGTCTCATGGAGAGCTTGTTGTGCACCAGGACCCCCAGGTCCTTCTCTGCAGCGCTGCTTTCCAGCAGGTCAGACCCAGCCTGTGCTGGTACTTAGGTTGTTCTTCCCCAGGTGCAGGACTCTGCACTTGCCTTTGTTGAATTTCAGACATTTCTCTGCCCATCTCGCTGCCCTGTCGAGATCTCTCTGAAAGGCTTCACAGCTCTCTGGGGTATCAGCCACTCCTCACAGTTCTGTGTCATCAGTGATCTTGCTGAGGAKGCATCTGCTCCTGCACCTGAGTCAATGATGAGTAAGTTAAACAATACTGGGCCCATTACTGAGGCTTGGGGAACACCATTAATGACAGGCCTCYAACTGGACCCTGTGCCATTGATTATGACCCTCTGGGATCTACTGCCCAGTCAGTTCTCAGTCCACCTCACTTACAATCTCAGAAGACCCATAATTCATTGACAAATAGGAACAATGGCAATGTAATGATGAGGATTTTTGCAGGAGATGAGTGATAACATTAGGGATGAAAGAAGGGCCGTRGAATTGCATGGTGCCTTCTCCCCACTCCTTGAGTGGCTGTCCACAAGCAGCCCTGCTAAAAATTAAGAGGTAATTTTCTGCTGAGTAAGTGCCATATGTATCTTGCTGGGTTCCTGTTACACATTTAAATAAGCAGTTGGTTTGTGATACAAAGGCTCATCTGAGGAAGTGCAAATTGCAATCTCTAACCTGGCTCTTCCTGCTGTTAATTTTGAACCTGACTTGAGTTGAATACCTTTCCCTTGCTGGTGTGCAGGGTCTATTTTTTATATGCTACCTTGCTAATAAGAAAATTAAATACAGCCTAGCAACAACTCTGCATGCTCTTTGATGTGAACAATTACCCACTTGCCTGTTTGTAATAGTCTGTGAGCTAGAAAGSCCCCTGGTACTTTTTTCAGTAATATTGGGGAGGAAATGGAGGAATCTCCTGAATTAGGGAAGATCTCAGGCTCCTACCCCAGGTTTGTGAGGTGGGGTTTTGGGTTTCTAGTCTGGTTTGGGTTTTGGGGTTTTTTTACCCCTTGTCTGGATGAAAATTGACCATGTTAGTCTTCTTATAATGCAGAGGGCATTACTACAGCATGAAGGATTTTGAGGCRTATGAAGGATGGTGGGTGCCTCACGATTTAACTTTTTTTTAATGGAGGAAGAAAGTGCTGGGAGGAAAAAAATGTTTGGAAAGCCAGCAGAAGTGTCTCTAGCATGAGTTAGGATAAGCAGAGTGGAGAGAGCAAGGTCCCCAGGAGCCGTGTGAGTCAGAGCTGCTCCCTGCCCTAGCCCCAAGTGCAGCTTCCCAGCAAATGGAGAGCTGTGCCAGCTCTCTTCCTGCCGGTGAGCTGGCCCAGTGGAGTGTCTGTTTGCAGTGGKAGGCCTTCTGACTGACACATTCAGGCTGCCTGGGAGCAAATGTTGGATGCTTTCAGACCAAATGCGTGGGTATTCTTCTGCTCCATCAAAAGGAAAAGGCCAGTATGTGCAACTGTGTATTTATTCTATTTCAAGCTTTGAACTTAAATCTCTCAGTACCCAATTTACATTCATTCTGCCTGGCTGTTTAGCTTTCAATATTCCTACTATACTTACTTCTGTACCACAGAAAAACGGGTGGATTAAAAATGAAATTTTCTGTTGATTTGCTCATTGGCTGTATTGCAGTTTGTAAGGTTATCAGGTAACTAAAATGGTTCAAGAGAATATGTATAATCCCTCAATATATCACTGAATTAAAATGAAGGGGTTAGAATTCTTGCTTAATCTCTTACTGGGCTTTTGGGTTGGTTTTTGTTTTTCGGTATCTACAAAGTAGCGGTAACTTTTTACTTGATGGTAGCTTGAAATGAACATAGGAAGTTGTGGCAGTTAAGAAATAKCTCCTAGTGATGATTACATAGTGATTTGTACTATTACAATTTCTTGGCAACAGTATCCAACACGATCAGACAAGTTTTCTGTTCATTTAGCCATTTTTAGCAGC